ATATATATATATATATATATATATATTTCTTTTTTTAATAATAAAATAGAAAAATATTCAAAAATGGTCTTTACGGTATGGAAAATAAAAATAATAAATAAAAAAAAAAGCAAAACCCTAACGGAGGAGTTAGTGCTAAGGACCGTCCTCTAAAAGTTTTGAAACCAAGTGATCAACATTGATGACCTAAAAAATGAAAGATTAAATTCAATTTTTTTGGAAACAATAAGGACCATTTTTGAAGATTTTTCTTTTGCATAAATTCTATCTATTTTAAAAAGATAACTGAAAATAAATTTATCATAAATAGTAATTAATAGTGTGATGATATGTATGATCTTGGCACTTATTTGCAAACCCCTTCCTATCACCACAAATATACGAAGACATTTATTCGTTGAAATATGGGTGACTATCTAAACCTTCCAAAATCTCCAACTCAATCATCATCGCCGCCACCACCACCGCCACCTCCTCCACAAGCTCCGCCATCAACCAGATCAAACATGCCCATGCTATACTACGGTCTCGTGGTTGTAGCCACCGCTGCCATCGTCCTTGCCATCTACAACCTCATAATTGTACGGTGGTGCGCCATACAATACCGCCGCTCACGAGATACTAATCATCACTTCGGTCCCCGGAGAAACGTTGCCACCCGAAACAATAACATATCACTGCCACCGTCTTCCCTCTCCGGCGGCGGTTCCACCGTAGGTTTGACTGCGAGTTTCCGATACAAAAAAGAAATTGAGGGTACTAATATTAAAACCCAGTTGGATTATGACACCGAGTGCTCCGTTTGCTTATCGGTTTTTGAAGACGGCGAAGAAGTCAGAAAGTTGCCGAGATGTAACCACTCGTTTCATGCTTCGTGTATCGATATGTGGTTGTACTCTCACTCCGACTGCCCACTGTGTCGTAACTCGGTGGTAGAGCCACCGCCGCCACCGCCACATGCACCGTCGCACCTACCTTTAACATCACAACACCGGCATACAGACTCGGCTTTATCGGAGCATTCACGGGATGGATTATTAGATAGAGCGAGCTTCTCTGTCTCTGTGTAATCGAATCTTTTTTTTTTTTTTTTTTTTTTTATAATTTTGGATAAATAAATTAGCAGATAATTTATTGGAATTAATCAAAGAAAATACATGTTGTTGTAGGGTTGGCATTCGTGGGGCCTTTTCTAAGAAGATTCTACAAATTCTTTGAAGGGCTTGCACGTAATTCACAAATTATCTCATTAGTTTATAATTTTTTTTCGTAAAATATTGATATATGTAACAACTTGGCGGATTTTGATTAATAAACATTTTTATAAAAAGTTGATTTTGTTTTAGATTTTAATAGCACTAGTAATTAAACTACTTGCGATGTGATATATATATTTTTTATATAAATAATATGCCTAAAGTCAAAGTATAAGACAAAGCAGCAGTCGACAATACTCCAAACATACAATTATTAATCTGTCCTATTGCGTTGTAAATCCTTTGTCTCAAAACTTTACTTCTAGTAAACACTAGTTAAGAGTACTAGTAAACAGTAAAATTAAAGTACATTTTGAATTTTTGTTAGTCCAATATTAAAACTTGGTTTACTAAACTTAAATAGTACGGTTTGAGATTTTTTAGTCTAATATTAAAACTTTCATTACAGATTCGAGTTAACTGTTCAAGCTGTATTTTTAGGATATCACTGAAAACAAATTTGTAAAAAAATTTCAATTTTAAACTAACTGTGCAAATGAGAAAAAAAATGAACGCAAATTGCATTTTTTAGGATACCATATGAACCAATTTTTCAATTTACTCTAATTATTTATATCATTTACAACAAAAATGAGTAACATTTCATTTTTTATGGAAACAATATATATTAAATTATTAATTAATTAAGTACCTTATAGATATGTGAAAGGGATATACAAACAAAAAGAAAATCCGTTTCTCATGTATAACAATTTTTTTGTTTTGGTTGAAAGTAACTTTAAACAGATCAGTTAAGAGTCTTCTCTTTTTTCAATAAAACAAAACAAGTTTTAAAAAAAATCGAAAAGCAAAATAAAATTAGTAACGTTCTAATAAAAACAATTCTAGACGTTACATCATACATAATTGTTTCCTCATTTGTCATTTATAAATTATTTATTCATGTACACGTATTTTTATTCGCATCTTTATGTATTGCTTCATCCGTTCCGTATTAATATAACTTATATCTATTATATCTTAGTTTAGAAGTATGTTGCAATACTATTGTAAAATATTGCTTTCGGATTGTTTTCAAGGATAAACTATTTTTTTTTATAGAACTAATGACAATATTAGACGTAAATTCGTTGATTTTAAGTATGTGATCAAGCCCAAAAAAGTAACTTAGACGGCCAAGATTTTTTATTTTTAATTCGTAAATTTGTTGATAGAGCGAAGAACCATGTCATCATTGCCGGTAATAATTAAGTCATCAACATAAACCAATAAGTATAACACACACGAATCACGTTTGAACATAAAAAGTGACGAGTCGGCCCTACTACATATAAACTCGGTGCTAACCAAAAAGGTGCTCAAGCGATGAAACCAAGCATATGGAGCCTCTTTAAGACCATAGAGAGCTTTGTTAAGATGACACACATGATCAGTATATCTTAGATCATGAAAGTCTGTAGGTTGTTCCATGTAAACAGGTTCACGTAAGGTGCCATGAAGGGATGCATTATTAACATCAACTTGGTGGAGAGACCAACCATTGATGACAGCTAGGGACAAAACAATGCGAACCGTGGATGCTTCACAACTGGACTAAAAGTATGAGAGTAATCAATGTGGGAAAGTTGACTGAAACCTTGAGCAACGAGACGAGCTTTGTAACAATCAATCGAGTCATCAACATGATACTTAGTTCGAAATACCCATTTGCAACCAACCACATTGCGATCAACCGGTCTAGGCACCAACGTCCAAGTGCTATTGAGACGAAGAGCGGTCATTTCAACATCCATGGCATTTTGCCAATGAGAATGAGAAGTTGCAGATGCAAAGATGGTTGGGTCACGGTGAGAAAATAACGCAGTGTACAAATCATGTTGAGTAGTGTGAGCAAGATCCACTATGTGTTTTGGTTTAAAGATTCCAACTTTAGCCTGCGTAACCATAGGGTGACCAGGAGTGGGTGCAGCAGATGGAATAGGAGCCGTTGGCAGGGTCGATGTCGGGGAAGCAGAATCAGGTTAAGGGGAATGGTGTGCAGCAACATCAGCGGAATCGACAGGAGGCGGATCGTTTTTAGGGCCTGGACGGGTGACTGATGCGTAGCGATAGGACCAGAGGCTGGAGACAATTGAGCATCATCGAAAAGCCTACACCTGGTGGTTGGATTAGGCGACGATTGAGGTGGAGTAGGAGCGGGAGACATCATAGGTGAAGAAGAAGGAACATCATCCAAAAAAGCGGCCAAACGGAGGTCGTGAAGAGGGACCCGAGATAGAAAGCCTCTAAAGGGAAATGATAACTCATCAAACTTGGCATGTCGAGTAATATAGATGTGGGAGGAAGCAGGTTCAATACATTGGTATCCCTTGCATTGAGTATAATAGCCAAGAAAGATGCATGGAAGGCTTCGTGGGGACAATTTTTGCTCCGTATAGTCCTATAAATAAGGTTAAACTTGACACCCGAATGAGCAAAAATGATCATAACAAGGAGCCCGAAAAAACAATGTTTCAAAGGGAGACTTATTGTTTAAGAGTCGCATGGGTAGCCAATTAATGATATAAACAGCAAAGCGAAACGCATGAACCTAATAAGATGATGGGACATGCCCATTAAATAACATGGCAAGACCGGTTTCAATAATGTGTCGATGCTTGTGTTCTGCCCGACCGTTTTGTTGTGGGGTGTACGGACAAGAGATACGATGAAAAGTGCCATTTGCATCAAGTAAACTCCGAACATGGTGATTTAAAAACTTTGTGCCCCCATCACTTTGAAAAATTTTAATTTTAGAAGAAAACCGTGTTTGAACAAATTTAATAAACGTTCCAAAAACCACATGAACCTGACTTGGTTTTGAGCAGATATAACCATGTAAAGCGAGAGTAGTCATCCACAAAAATTGCATAATGTGACATCCCCATTTTCACGGCCAGAAAAGACCGATTTTGTTTATGTTTTATAAAAATCAGAGTAACTCTTTTAATAAAAAGGTTGCGAAATTTATTCCCAGAAAAACATGATAAATACGTTATCAAAGCATTTCCGAAGAAATGTATATTTATTTATTTTAAAACCTTGGGATGTCATCGTCAATACAGAAACATAAGCATAAACAGAACTTACATTCATTTACACTAGTGATCTACATATCTTTTAAATCTCTCAGTGTAAAGTAGCTTCGTATCGACACCTGTGATACAAATAAGTTTGAGTGGGTCAGGTTTGGAAACCTGGTGAGTACATAGGGTTTTCAACCCACAATAATATAATTATTATGTTTAAATATCAAACAATCAACCCAATTACCCATCCCCATTATCTTCTTTACTCTAAGGGTCTACCCTAAGAATCAACAATTTCTCGTTCATTCATTCCTAAGGATTATCCTATGGAATAGGCACAAAATGCATCGTTACCAGGGTTTATGGATTACAACTGGTGAACACGTAGTCCAAAATATCTGTTGAATACTTATTTCTAAAATACCTAGTGAACACACTCAGTTCAAAATACCTGGTGAACACTTAGTTCAAAAATACCTAGTGAACACACTCAGTTCAAAATACTTGGTGAACACTTAGTTCAAAAATACCTAGTGAACACACTCAGTTCAAAGTACCTACAGGTTACGAGTCTGCTAGCGTTCCACTGGACTGTCTAGTAAAGTCCGTGGTCGTCATCTATACTCAACTAGATGACTGGATCACTGTCAACATTGATGTCTTTCATCGTGTTATCACACAGCAACTATTGCATCTACCCATGTTTTACCCAACACATTTTGTAGATATAAAATACATATACAGTTTAAATCATTTAAAACAAATATAAAATCGTTCATCCAGCATAGATAGCAAGTATACAGATAATATGCACACGTAACACGTAATTTATATA